TTTGATGAAAAAGTGCTTCCGGTGAGCTTTTCCAGGTAGAAAGCTCACCGGAAGCACTTTTTCATCAAAAAAAGATGGCGGCGCCCAGCAACCAGCGGCCCGGTAGGACTTGTTCCGCGGACCGGTACTGGTCCGCGGACCGGTGGTTGGGGACCCCTGGTTTACTTGATTATTGGTCTGAAGTTAATCTTGGAGTTGATCGAGTATTCCCCTTTGGGCTGGTTGATTGTCTCTTTTGCATACTCTATAGAAGTTGTTAATGTCTATGTGTCTACAGATGGCTGATTTGTCAGCGTGCCAGGCTTCTAGAAATTCCCTGGCATTTTTGGATTTGGCTTGGTCTACGATGGTCACATTTTCCCAATCGAAACTATGATTAAGTCTGTCTATATGTTGTGAAATTAAGGAATGTTCATCATGTCCTCTGACTGCTGGTTGGTGCTCGTGGATGCATTTTGCTAGTCGTCTGCCTGTTTATCCTACATAGTGGTTGTCCTAAACAATATTAAGAATAACAAAAGCAACAACAACAGAGTTGGAAGGGACCTTGGAGGTCTTCTAGTCCAACCCCCTCCTCAGGCAGGAATCTCTACACCACTTCAGACAAATGGTTGTCCAATGTCTTCTTAAAAACGTACAGTGTTGGAGCTTTCATAACCTCTGGAGGCAAGTTGTTCCACTGATTGTTCTGTCAGGAAATTTCTCCTTAGTTCTAGGTTGCTTCTCTCCTTGTTTAGGTTTCCATCCATTCCTTCTTGTCCTGTCTTCTAGTGCTTTGGAGAATATATTGACCCCCTCTTCCTCGTGGCAGTCCCTTAGATACCGCAATGTATGTATGTATGTATGTATGTATGTATGTATGTATGTATGTATATGTGTACACACACATACAGACATACCCCGAGCTAAGTCCAAAAATGCCAGGGAATTTCTAGAAACCTGGCACTCTGTCAAATCAGCCATCAATAGAAACATAGACATTAACAACATCTATGCAAAAGAGACAATCAACCAGCAAAAAAAAAAGGAACTAAAAGACCCAAGCACCTATCCACAACCCAGATCAGCATAAATTAAATCCAAGATTAACATCAGACCAACAATCAAGTAAACAATGCCTCAATCAAGAAATTACTAAAGAAGGCAACAGCAAACAGACAACCAAATAATCTCTAAGAACACCCCCACCAACGCTGACAGGGCAAGTTGCAAGACTAGAATATATACTGAGAGCATACCCCACATCTTACTAACACTGATGATGTTACCTAGTTGGGTAATGAAATGTCGGCAAGAAACAAGTGAGCTGGGAGAGCACCAAGGACCCCTCATTTCAACCCTAAACTACAAATATTCTCCTTTATTTTCCTTAACTGTTTGTGTCCTTTTCCCTTTAGCTTGGCAGTTGAAAACATCTTTCATAGTGAGCAAGGATTTTAATTGGTTCAAGATAAAAGCCAGACTCCTCCAAAGATGGCTCAAGGGGGCTGTTCTTACTTTTCTGCTTCTATAAAAGAAAGTCGTTTTGCAGATGTAGGGAAATCTCTGGATTTGTTTGGAACAGCATTTCAGCCCAGAGAAAAAATAAACTCGCGGTACACAGCAAAGGAAGGAAAAGAGAAGTTCTCTCCTATAATTCTGGCTGGGACTCTTGGAAAATTCTGGGGAAGGTCTTGGCAGAACATCTTGGAAGAAGAAACCACCCGTTGGATTGTGCAGCATCACCCTTTCAAGTTCTTCTGTAAGGAGGTTGAGGGACCTCGAGAACTTTGCAGCCAACTTCATCGCCTTTACCATCAGTGGCTGAAGCCAGAGAAGCACACGAAAGCTCAGATGTTGGACCTGGTGGTCCTGGAGCAGTTCCTGGCCATCCTGCCCCCAGAAATGGAGCGCTGGGTGCGAGAGTGTGGAGCAGAAACCAGCTCCCAGGCAGTGGCCCTCGCAGAAGGTTTTCTCCTGAGCCAGGCGGAGGACAAGAAGCTAGCAGAAATGCAGGTGAGAGAATATCACCAGGTAATTCAAGATGGTCATGGCATGAAACCAGTGGTACAAAATTCTTAACGGTTTCCCTATAGAAAATGCTGCTATAGAGCATTGCATGCCAGAACAACCACGTATAAAGATAATTTTTCCCCTGTGCCATCACTCTGCCGAACACTTAATTCCCACAGCACAGACTCACTTCTCATCTTTTTTCAACTTCTCATCTTTCCTACTATCTTCTATTGGTTTCTTATGATTTATCAATTGTTGTTTGTAACTTATGATTAATGATTGCAACCATGATCTATGAACTATTAATTCTGTTTATATGTACACTGTGAGCTTATGCACCAGAGACAAATTCCTTGTGTGTCAATCACACTTGGTCAATAACTTGGTTCTGTTCTGTTCTGTTCTCCTCTATTCTTTTTTTTTTTTTTTAATAAAAGTTTTATTGTTTTTAAGACATAGACAAACACAACATAAAAACATCAAGCCATCTTCCGTGTATGTACATACAGTGTGTTGGTTGGTTTACAGATTGTTTTGTGCTTCCACTTCATAGTCTTCACTTACAATTACATTGTATATGTTCTTGTATTGTCAATCAAATATTCCTAAATACATTAATATCATTACTCTACTCTATTCTTATAGGGCTAGGAAAGACAGGAAAACATTTCATTTCCTCACTAAGCAGATCATACTATTACTCTCCTATAAGATATGGAAATCCAAGTTCTTCCAGGAAGCAGTATGGATTGGAGACAGTAATATACTCTTTTCTGTTCAGGTTTATGAACCCTTCATGGAGATGGCTGTTGAATATCCCAAAGCAAGGGGCAGTGTGTCATATTCCTCTCAGAAGCTGGCTTCTAGAGGTATCTCCCAGGAAGACCCACCTCTAAGTACTTCCACAGGTAAAGGAGAATTATTCTGATGTAGCACCGCCCTGTTGGCCAAACTGTGGAATGGCCCAGTCAAATGCTGGGATCATTACCTGGTGCAAAGGAGCCAATTATCAAACAAGGCAGGTAATTACAGTTTATTCGTTCTGTACAGCTACACAGAGGCTCACTCTTGGGATCCAAGTCATAAAATGAGAGCCACAATTACACAAATTAGCAGAATCTCTATACTCTTGTAAAAAAAACAAAGACATATGATTGTTAGCAGTCAATAGGCAGTACATTATTCACATCCCTAGTACAGGTAGTCTTCGACTTACAACAGTTCATTTAGTGACTGTTCAAAGTTGCAACGGCAACTGCAAAAAGTGACCTAGGATCATTTTTCAAACTTATGACCATTGTAGCTTCCCCACGGTCATGTGATCAGAATTAGGATACTTGGCAACTGGCCCATATTTATGACAATTGCAGTGTTGGTGATCACCTTCTGCAACCTTCCGACAAGCAAAATCAGTGGGGACACCAGATTTACTTAACCATATTACTAACTTAACATCTCCAGTGATTCACGTAACAACTATGGCAAGAAAGGTCATAAAATGGGGCAAAATTCACAACAAATGTCTTACTTACCAACAGCAACTTGGGGTGCCATTGTAAGTCAAAGATTGCCTGTATAGGATTGCCCTTCCAGAAAGTGTCTTTATTACTTTGCCCTACTTTAGTCATTGCACCTCGTACAACGAAATCAAACACCATCTTCAGTGCACATCATGACCATGAGAATAAACACAAACACACATCCTTCACATTCCACACATTGAACCGAAACCGCCAACACTGCACCAACACTGCACTATACAGCAGAATTCAAAAGAGCTACTGCCCTGGGATAGAAGCTGTTTTTTAGCCTATTTGTGCTTGTTTTTAATATTCTGTACCGTCTACCAGATGGTAATAGTTAAAAAAAAAAAAAGGGTGCCCAGATGGATCTTTGAGAATGTTTTGAACTTTCTTAAGGCAGCAAGAACTATGAAGCTCTTCCAAAGAGGGGAGAAGCAACCAATTATCTTCTGGGCAATGACGTTAACCCTCTGGAATGCTTTCCTATCTTCCCTGGTGCAATTGGCAAAACATACAGAGGTGCAGTAACTTAAGATACTCTCTATGGAGCAGTAGTAGAAGGTCACCAGCAGTTTTTCATTCAGTTGTTGTTTTCTGAGAAGTACTGTAGCCTTCCTATCTCTAACCAAAAAGGCTGGTAGCTTAGAATGCAAAACATCCTAGCTAATTTACCTGCAGCAGGTAAGGGGAGTTAGTTTTGAGACTGTTGCTTCTCAGAGACAGGGCACTTCTTTGCTAATGGCAACCTCATGAGCCTTCCAGAAATATGAAAGGCAGAGCAAGGGTCCCTGAAAACAAACATGAACAAACAATGGAGATTTCAACAAAATGGAGTTTCTCTGGCTAAACTGCTTATATCAGCCCGTCGTGTGCCAGAATGGCCTTTGTGTAGTGTTGCTCCAGAATGCACAAAGAATGTTTTAAAAACAAGTACTTTTTACACTTTTTGTTTCACTCTCAGAGAATAGTACAGCACCATTGTTACCTGTGGAAACATCTCTTCTTTGCGGTGCAGTAGAAACAGCAGTTTTGCCTCGAGCTCAGGTAGGAAGAAGATTCTACTCCCCAAAATCAAAAGGTGATTTAATCAAAGAGCATTCAGTGAGCTTCTCCAGAGCCACTTCTTTCAATGTGAGATCCTGTTTAGTCAGTTTTTTTAAAATCATGAGCAGCTTCCCATCCATTTGCCTATTAACAGGATCATCTGTGATTCATTCAAGGGCATCTCCCAAAATCTTCATTTAAGTCTTTAATAAGTGTCGAGTTGATCTCTGAGAACTAACATAAGCCACTGTTTAAAACGTCACCTAGCACTATAAAAACAAGTTGATAAAAGCATCTTCCAGTAAAGACTTGAGCCTTTATTCAATAATTCATCCAGAATTTGTCTCATCAGTTGAATCTAGATTATGGTATGGCTGTCTCTGAACTGAATTGAAGGCCCTGCAAGATAGCTTCAATTAATAAAATATTGTCCCAGCTATGTCATCAATCAGATTTGAATTCTGGCCAATTTTGGTGGCAGATGTCTCTAGGGGAGATACACATATTCCCTATATAAAAACTGATCTGGAGGATTTCTTCATTAAGAAACAGAATTTGTGAATAGTTCCTAGAACTGTACATTAATAGCAACATTTTCTTCCCTCTCCAGGATCCTGTTTCTTTTGAGGATATAGCAATTAATTTCTCTGGGGAAGAATGGACTCTGCTGGATTTTGACCAGAAAACTATATACACAGAAGTCATGCTGGAAAATGCTAAGATTGTGGCCTCCATACGTAAGGGTTCCTTTTTCTCTGGGAATAGGAGCTGTAGTGGCGTAGTGGTTAGAATACACTATCGTAGGTTAATTCTACGGAATGCCAGGAGTTGATCCTGACTGGCTCAAGGTTGACTCAGCCTCCCATCCTTCTGTGGTTGGTAAAATGAGGACCCAGATTGTTGGGGGCAATATGCTGACTCTGTAAACTGCTTAGAGGGGGCTGTAAAGCATTGTGAAGCGGTATATAAGTCTAAGTTCTGCTATAGTAGCAAATATTTGTAACTCAGGTGTAGGATGAGGGTAAAGCTTCATTCTCCGAGCTCCAACCCACAACCTCAGAGAATGAACCTCTACCCTCATAAGTCTAAGTGCTATGGAGAAGTAATTTATTTATTTTCTTTCTGTTCTTTTTCTACAGTTGAGTAGAATTTCCTTAACTGCATTGTTCCTTCCATTTGCTCTGGTACTAGGGCTAAAATCTTTATGCTATCTCTATAAAGAGCAGAGAGTCACCTCCAGTCAAGTTCTGAACCTAGAAGAGACCCACAATGTTAAGTAAAGGGATGGAATTCCTAATAATTGGGCTCTCCTCTTAGCATGACTAGGAGGTATAACCTCCTACCTATTTGACTCAAGATCTAATTGATGTAGCTGCTGCATTGATATTCAGTGGTACCTTTAAATTGTGGCCCAAATTTTTCAAGAAAATGAACCTTGCTTTGATGTCAACCTATAGGTTACCCTAGCTATATGACAGTGGTTTCCAACAACACAATAAAAAAGCACCAGAAGTTGAGAAAAATTCCATATGGCACAAAAGAAATGAAAATGTGGGGAAATTGTGATAATGTTAATATAAAATGTGCAACTAATGCAGCATGATCCTTCTTAGCACCCTCACTTTTTGCCTAAATCATCTCACCCCCCCCCCTTTTTTTTTCTTTTTCTTTTTCTCAAGCAGGTGATGAGCAGAAGTTTGAGGATGATAAGAAGCCAGTAGCAGAAAAATTGCAAGCAGTCAAGAATAAAATTAAAGAAACTTTCTTTGAAAATCCACAGGGACCAAAAAGGCCTAAGGAAAACCAACTCAACAACAGGGTGGAGAAATCGACAATGCAATGTGCAGAAATCCATGTCTTCCTGCCCCAAGAAGATCATAAAAAGAAAAATTGTATAAGGTGTGGAAACATATTGAGGAATATGTCCAATTTCTGTGACTGCTGTGAAACCCTCATCAAAGAGGAACAATACAGACACAAAAAGCAAAGAAAAAATGATAACTGGGACCATGCTCTCTCTTTACACCAAAGCGCCCACGCCGGAGAAAAATCCTTTAAATGCCTGGAGTGTGGGAAAAGTTTCAGTAAGAGCAGTAATCTGAATGCCCACAAAAGGATCCACACAGGGGAGAAACCATACAAATGCCTGGATTGTGGGAAAAGCTTCCGCAAGAACGGTAACCTTACATCCCATATAAGGATCCACACAGGGGTGAAACCATACAAATGCATGGGCTGTGGAAAAAGTTTCAGGTGGAACAGCAATCTTACTTCCCATAAAAAGATCCACATAGCGGAGAACCATTGAAAGACACGGAGCGTGCAAAGACATTACTATGATCCGTCACAAAAGGTTCATCATGAGGGGAAAAGGAGGTAAACAAGCGGCATGTGGAAAGAGCAAGTACAGTCACTAACCATGCTTCCGAGAAAACAACCTACTTGGGAGAATCCGCATAAATGAACAGAGTCTGGGAGTATCTTCAGGATGATCAATTGCTTTATTTTCCATAAGAGAGCTCACATGGGAGAGAAACCACATAAATGCATTTAGTGCCAAAGGTGCAAGATTATGAGTTCCTTTATTTCGCAGAAAGGGATCCACAGGAGGGCAGAACAATGCACAGACTTGGAGTGTGCAGAGATGCCATTATGATGGGGGGTTGCTTTAGCGCCAATAAAAAGTTCCATTTGGGAAAGAAATGTTTACAGCAGAGGATGGATACAGGATACTGAAGTAGGATGGAAAAAATATTATGTTCATTTAATTTTCCCCTATTAATTACTTAGAGCAGTGGCCCCCAACCTTTGGGGCCCCCAACCAGGGACCGCATCTGTGAAGTTTTTTCTGCGGAATGGAGGGGGTAAGGTTTCCCATGTTACCTGCATCCCGCAGATGGGGCTTCACTTGTTTGCGTAGTCCAATTGCTGGCATGCCGTGGACCAGTGTGGATCCACAGACCTGGGGTTGGGGATTCCCGTTTTAGATCACATAAAAGGATCCACACTAGAGACAAATCATATAAATACATAGTATGTGGAAAAAAACCTTAGTATGAGCAGCAAATTTACTTTTCATAAAAACCAGGCTCAATAACAGTAACTGTGAGAGGGATCTTGGAGTCTTAGTGGACAACAAGCTAAATATGAGCCAGCAGTGTGTAGCAGCAGCCAAAAAAACTAATGCAATCCTAAGTTGCAATAACAGAGAGATACAATCAAGATCAAGTGAGGTACTAATACCACTCTATAAAGCCTTAGTAAGACCACACCTAGAGTACTGCATCCAGTTTTGTTCACCATGTTATAAAAAAGATGTTGAGACTGTAGAAAAAGTGCAAAGAGAAACCAGGATGATTAGGGGATGGAGACCAAAACATATGAAGAACGGTTACAGGAACTGGGCATGACTAGTCTAGTGAAGAGAAGGACCAGGGGAGACATGATAGCAGTCTTCCAATATTTGAGGGGCTGCCACAGAGGAAGGGGTCCAGCTATTTTCTAAAGCACCTGTAGGCCAGACAAGGAATAATGGATGGAAACTGAACAAGGAGAGATTTAACCTGGAAATAAGGAGAAACTTTCTGACAGTGAGAACAATCAACCAATGGAACAGCTTGCCCTCGGAAATTGTGGGAGCGCCATCACTTGAGACTTTCAAGAAGAGATTGGACTGCCATTTGTCAGAAATGTGTAGGGTCTTCCACTTGGGAGAGGGGTTGGACTAGATGACCTATAAGGCCCCTTCCAACTCTGATTATCTGTATCTGTATAAAAGGAGAGAAACCTTATAAATGTACTGAGTGTGGAAAAAGCTTCAGTCAGAGTTAGTCAGACCTTACTTCTCATAAAAGGATCCATATAGGAGAGAAACCATCTAAATGCTGGAGTGTGTAAAATATTTCAGTGATCATAATTCAGTTGCTTTCCATAAAAGAATTGATGCAAGTGAGAAATAGTTTTAAACTGACTGAATGAGTGAAGCGCCTTAGCAAAATCTTTACTTCTTTTCACATCAGAGGAGTCCTAATGTGTGAGATCATTAAAATTAATGTGAAGAAAACTTTGATAGCAATAGACTGATAAAACAACCCTACAGAGCCCTGTACCTATAAATTCATAAAATGAGGACAAATGATGAGATCTGTTTTGGTTTGTAATGTATTTTGACCTGTGAAAAGTTTATATTATAGAATAATCCTGCTTGCAAATGTACACTATTTGGGGTAAACTGAGCTTCTAATCTTAACTCAATTCTGATGCTTGACTTATCTCAGTGTTTTAGAGGGGATCCTATTTTACTTAAGCACCTGTTATTTGGTTATTTATTGAAGATTTTGGAGGCCACGTGGCTCCTAAAACTATTTTTACGTATTATATGAAATTAATATTGTTAATGATATCATCTTTGGATAAAGACACTTGAGTTATTCTTTGCAAATGTGTGAGAAATTTCTTTGTCATGAAATCAATTTCATGAAATTAACATGTTAGCTCATTTTGTTTCCTAGATAATAGATGCTTACAAATTTTAGTTGCACAATAGCAATTACTTGCATATTGGAACTGAAATCTGAGTTAAATGACGCATATACCACAAAGACTCTCTCTCTGCACCCCCCCCCCCCCAATTTATTGCTAAGAAAATTCAAAGAATAAAACAGCCTTTCTCTATCTGTATGTGTGTTCATTAGATATATATTCCAAGAACTCAACGGAGCCTCTCCTTCTCCACGATAACCCTGCAAGTTAGGCTGGGCTAAGAGAAAGGTACTAGTCCAGAGTGCCCCATGGAGCATCCATGGCTGGATGTGGACTTGAAACAACTTTTGGGTAAGAGCCATGATTGCAGAGCTGTATACAGATAGTCCTTGACTTACAATTCATTTATGACTGTTCGAAGTTGCAATGGCACTGGACTAAGTGACTTATGACCATTTCTTACACATATGACCATTGTGGCCTCCCAATGGTCACGTGATCAAAATTCAGATGCAGCTTGAATCAGTTGCCAAACATTTGGATTTTGGTCCAGGACCATGGGGATGTTCTAAGTTGAAAAAACATCTATAAGTCACTTTTCTCAGTGCCATTGTAACTCATTCTAACCTTATAATTATCAATGCCCGAGACTTGCCAGCAAGCCAGAAAAGAGCTCCATTCCTCAGCAAACGCTCAATTCAAAAGTACTCGGAGATCTCCCATTCCTCCCATCCTTGACCAGCACGCCAGAAAAGAACTCATTCCTCGGTAAGCACTAAATTCAAAAGCGCTCAACGATCTGTGATTCGACCCATCCTTACTAGAAGGTAAGGCAATGGGGCTTGCCAGTACCAGGGGCTCTACAATCATCCTTGCAGGGCGGTGAGACGGTGAGATTCATCCCATCCTTGCAGGGCGGTGAGCACTGGGTGCTGTGAGTCGGTCTTCAGACGTTTGCAGCCAGGGTGTGAAGCAGACTGCTTCCCCCCTGCCACCCCTCCTTCCCTCTTCCCTCTTCACCAAATTGCTAATCCGGACTCCCTCTTTAAAAGGACAGTAATTGCAGCTGCTCTTTCCTGCGAGCAATCCTGCGTGCATGCGCACTTGGCACAGGCTCCTCGGAAACCTCCTCATCGCTGCTGCCAGCCCCCACAATCTCTGAAGGCAGCAGTCCATTCCCTAATGGTCCTGGCCCCTCATCTGAGTCCTTGCTCTCCTCAGCCATCTGCACCTGCTGCTGGCTAACCACAACACTTTCTCCCTGATCCATTCCATATTCTCTGTTGATAGATGACTGATCCCCGCCTCATCCCACAGCTGTTCTTTTCTACACTGCACTGGTGAGACTACATCTGGAGTCTGCAGAGTTCTGGGAATACATTTCCAAAAGGATAGGTGAAAATAAGAGTCAGAGGAGGAGACAAAGATAAGGGAGGAGATGACAAAGGAGGATTTGGTGAAGGAACCTGGAATCCCCAGTCTGGAGAAAAGACAACTGAAGGGAGATATTAACTCAGTGTTCACAAATGTGCCATATGGAAGATGGTTTGGAACTATTCTCCATGGCCATAGAAATTAGGACTAAAAATAGGTTTTAAATTGCAATTGCCTAGATGTTAAAGAATAAGGAAAAACTTCCTAATTGTTAGATCCATAAGTTGTCTGTTGTTTGTCTCAGGAGGTTTTTGAGAAGAGGCTAGATAGCCACTTCTTGAGGATTGGTTATCCTGCACATTCACGGGTTGGGACAAGGTCAACTTTGTTGATCCTTTCCAACTCCATGGTCTTATGATCCTATAGAGCAGGGGTCACCAATCTATTGGACCTCAGGGACCACCAAACACATAATTTTAAATCCTGCGGACCAGAGACCCTGGGAAAATCCCAAAAAAAAGTCTGCAGGAAAATTCCACACCTCGTTTTTCTGTTGATCGATCATTCTTTATTTGGGATTGCAGGATACCGTCTCCAGCTCTCGGAGAGAGAGAGAGAGACTTTTGGCTTATGCAAGGAAAGCAGCAGAAGCAGCAGAAGTCTTTCTTTCTCTCCCCCAAACTCCGCCAGAAAGGAGTCTTTGTGAGACTTGTCATGCCAGCTCAGCCTCTTGGAGCAGGATGCCTTGCAGAGTCCCAAAGACTCATTTCTAGCAGAGTTTGGGGGAGGGAAAGAAAGACTTCTGCTGCTTTCCTTGCGTGCTGCCAAAAGCAGAAGAAAGAAGCGGAAAGAAGCAGCCCGGTGGTCAGGCGAGGCGTATGGGGCAAGTTCCCCCACTCTGCCCTTTTGTCCCTCCCCTCACTACCTCATGTTGTTCTCAATGCAAGCGACGCAAGCCTTGTGTTCCCATGGGCATGTGGGCAGTGCAGCCTTGTGTTCCCATGCAGCCTGAATCAATTGCTTTGAGGGGTGCTTTGGAGGTGATATTTCTCTGTGGACCACCAAAATTTTCTCATGGACCACCAGTGGTCCCCAGCCCACTGGTTGGTGACCACTGCTATAGAGAAGTCTTATCTAGTTCATCCCTTCTCTGGTTGCTAGTGAAGAAATTGTCTATTGAATTGGCTTCCAATTACTTCGCTGTTCAGTTCTGTTACAGTTGGGCAGATAGCGACACAAATTTACTGATTCTTGGACTGAGCTAGCTTCACAACTTATTGGGAGAGTGGTAAAAAAAATAATTGGGAACAAAAAGGGAAGCCTATCCTTTTCTACCTTATCTCATTCTACCAATGCTTATCTACAAGAGATTATATTTAAAGTTCTTTTGTTTGCTAGGTGGAAGTGGAAATGATCTTAACATTCTAAAGATTCTTTCAACAGAAAATCTAA